CCCCCCCCCCCCCCCGCAATTCTGAGGCCTGGCGCCGCCACTGGTGTTCTGTAACCTTAAGTTAGCTAATATCAGGCAGGTTGAGGTCTAGCCATTTAGGGTAAGATCAGGACATGTGCAAGGTGATATTGGGTCAGATGTAGTCCATTGCGGTGAGATGAGGTCAGGTAAGGGAGTGGCAAGGTGTGGTGAGTTCTGGGCAGCACTGTGAATAGAGAGAAGGCCAGACAAGTTGATGTCAGGCTACAGTTGTTAGATGAGATTGGGTCAGATGACGTCCGCTAGTGAGGGTTAATAACGTACATAAGGTAAGGTGAGGAGATATGAGATCTACACGGCTATCAGGTTGTTGCAATATAGATGAAAACAGGATTGAACAATGTTTTGCTGCCCACATTATTCAGTTGTTAACAATATATAATATTATATGGCAAGCATTTGTTTTGATGAATCGCGCAATTTTATTGGCTGCTGACGAGGCAGGATTTTCCCGTATTGCCCACTGGCAATGCGCAATTTTTATTGCCCTGCGACGTGAGCCGAGTTTCAAACAGCAAAAAGTGTCTAAAAGTCTTTCAAAACTATTCAAAACGAAGAAAAATAAACCTAAAATAAAAAGAGGACCAACTGCTGTGGTTAAACAACTTCTCCATACGTTTTTGTTAGCGAAAGTCAAAAGCAGTCAGGAATAGTTGTGTTTTGACTATGTGAAGAGCTGCAAATTTTATTTGCAGATAGCCAGGAGGAATTTGACACCATCCTAAATAAAAAATACGACTAAAGCAGCCACAGATTTATAATTTTTCCCTGAAAATTTTTGTTTTTGTTAGATAAAAAGAGACATAAATATGAGATGAAGAGAAGTAAAAACGTACTTGTTTTTGTAATTTTATTGAATTTTATTGTTTTCATATTATACCTCGTATTTTTCTTGAAATACTATCCAAACTGTGTTAGTATTCTATATAAAAAGTACTGTAGAGTAGTTTTACTAACCAAGAGAACATTTTTTACAATTGTTTTTTTTTCGCAAACTGTTTGGGACTTTGTACTTTGCCCTCGCGTGACCTTTTTTCCCATTTTTTATAAACGTACAATGCCATATAATAAAAAACTTACTGACCTAAACGTTCGGGCATTATGGGAAAATATCCAACCTCGGTCTCGCAGTATTGACCTCGCTATCGCTCGGTCAATACAGCAAGATCTCGGTTGGATATTTTCCCGTACTGCACTCACTCTCGGTCAGTAAGTTATTAATATTGTTACATCCGATTCAGGCTCAACAATATTGTTCAATATTGTTGACAAGTGTGAACAACGTGGGCAGCAAAACATTGTTCAATCCTGTTAAACAGTGGGCTCAGCGTTTTACGCGTGTAGTTAAGTCGGGCGTCTGATGTCATCAGGTGAGGTGATATGAGATTAATATTTAATACTCTAGTTAGGTTAGGTGAGTTTAGGTATAGTGATGAGGTATAAGGTCAGGTCAAGTGAGATTACATACTGTAAGATCAAATTAGGTGAAGTAAGTTGGGGTGACATGAGATGAGGTGAGGTTATAGGTACGTCTGGTGAATTGAGATAAAATCAGGTCTGGTCAAGAAAGATCAGTTGGGGTGTGATTAGGTGGGATATTACGCGAAAGTCAGATAAGGTGGAATAAATAGGATTTTGTGAAACATCCCACTCGATTGGGGGACAGTGAGGAGAGGTGAAATAAAGCGGGATTGATTATATAATTGAGGTTATAAATTATTGTATGGTACATTCGTTAAAACAATGAATGTTGTATTGTAGGAGCAGAGAGAGCGTGAAAAACAAGATCTTGAACTCGCAAAGGAAATGGCAGACGATGATGAAGATTCATTTCCTTGAACATTCAATAATATAACTTCGTTTACGCAACTAGTGTTCAAATGGCCAGAATTAGCGCCATTTTACTCCTAATGATAAAATTTTCTTATAAAAACGATGTCATAATTTTTTGTTATACTTTCCGTTGTTTTCCTAATTGTGTTACAACATATTGCCAAGAACTGCACTATCGAGGGGGAATTTGCAGACGCATATGGAAGGATTAGAATGGTTTTCGTTTGATCGTACCGTACCTAAGGCCACAGGTTTTCTTTTCTAAATAATCAAAACATTATCCTTTTCAAATGTCATCTCTACAACTCCTTCAAGACGACCACGTGACTCATGCCCTGAGTGGCGTTACTTTGTTCAATCCCCGAGCCAACGGCGCGTAGCCCTGTTCCAGGGGTCAGTTCGGGACGACGGTGCTAATTCCGGGCAAAGGAAAGCATTAGCGAGGTCTGAAGTTAATCAATAATCGCGGGCTTATAATAAAAGCTTATAATGAAAAAGGCGTATAAAGGCCTAATTCCACGACTAGCGAAATGCGAAAATTTTCTCTCGTAGTGATTTCCACATTAGAAAAAAAATTCGCCAAAACACAAGCATTGATTGCTTTCGCTATTTTGTCATCCAAAACACAAGCATTTAATTGGTTTCGCTATTTCCATTTCGCAACGGAGTAGAAACGAATTCAACTACCCGACGAAGAGAAATATTTCGCAGAGAAACACTCAAAATCATGTTCAGGGCCAAAAAAAATATGTGGGTTTCCGGTTTCTTCTTATAAAAACTTAGTTGGGGTAGGTCAACACCGCGGAAAAACGTCTGCGCATGCACCAAATTATGAAAATATGGCGGGGAATTTGAATATCAATTTCTAAAACAAAAACATGCTTATTAATTGGTCAAAAAATAGTAAAACAAACGAGAAAATTTAGCAAATGGGTAGACTAGACATTAATTGAAAGCGTCCTGGCATTTAAAGTATGGAATGAAATATAATTCATGTAAAAAAAATGTTGATTTTAACGGACACGACTTCGAAAATTTTTGCAAAATTATTCAAAACAAAAATTCAAACTAAAAAGTTAAGAAAACTCTCGAAAAGTTAAGCTTCTTAACCCACTCAAATTGTAGAATAAATCCTAAAGTTTAATTATTGTGAACACGCAATTTTTTTATATTTGGCGACACAGTTTTTTTTAAAGAAATGTATCTCAAACGAAAATTCGGAAATTGTCATTGCTTAGTTGATAAACAAAATCTTTCAGACGATAAATTTGTCAACAATCACCTTCAGTTCATGTTCTTGTACAATACAATTTCTTGAACCTTCTGGCTGTATTTATTTCTAGTTTTTAGAATGACATGTTTATTTTTGCGCTTGAAATCTGGCTGTAAAGACGTACAATGAAGTCACTCCTTTTTACCGCCATTTTGAGCCTTCGGAAACGTTCGGAACAGCTTCTCATCAAGTTCGCAATACTATTACAGGTAAGGTTGACGCATGCGCAGACGTTTTTCCGCGGTGTTGGGTAGGTCGGTTTTAACTTTTTTTTAATTTTCCTAACAACCGGACGCCATTTTGTTTAGTCAGTGCTTCCACATCCATAAGATAAATTTCCCTAATATTTTCTCAAATTTCAATTTTCCTCAAACCTTTTTCCTTTAAGTGGAAACACTTACAAGCATGATCCAATAAAAAAGTTTAGGGACGGGATTTCGACGTCCGGGAACCCACATGTTTTTTTGGCCTTGCGCATGCGTTGAACCTTTTCGCGCGAAATATTTCGCATTTCGCTCGTTGTGGAATTAGGCCTTAAAGCCCTGATTCCACGAGCGCTTTTTTTCAGCGAAATATTTCGCCTGTTTCTTTTAAATTGCGACCACTCGAATAAATTATTCCTACTCGATTGCTCACAATTCAAAAGAAACAGGCGAAATATTTCGCGTTTCGCTGTCAAAAAGCGCTCGTGTTATCAGGCCTTAAAGCCTGTTTTCCACTAGCGAATTTCTTCGCGCGAAGCGAATTTTCTATTGTTTAAATTGAAAAGAATTGATTAAAAATCTAATTAGTTTCAGCCGAGAGCTCATAATACAAAAGATTCGCGCGAACAAATTCGCTAGTGGAAAACAGGCTTAAAGGCCGTTTTCCACTAGGCGGAATTTTGCGCGCGGAGCGGAATTTTTCTTTGTCTTGTGATTTCTCGGGTGGAACTAATTAGAAAAGACAAAGAGAAATTCCGCTCCGCGCGGAAAATTTCGCCTAGTGGAAAACGGCCGAAAAAATTAGGGGGGGGGGGCGGAAAATAATTTGCCCACTTTTATGAAATGTGATTTTTAACCCAACCATTTTCTTTTCGTTCCCAACCCCCCAGTACAAATACTGGTACTCCCACGCAAATGATGTCTGGATTGCATGTCACTGGTTTTTCATCCTGCAGACCAAGTCACGTGACCTGTTGATTTTGAGAGTTCTATCTTAGTAAATCCAAATCTGTTTTAGGTTTGTCTCCATTTGCATTAAACTGTATTTAAACGTTGCTAGAAACAGTTGTTTTATTGAATACCTAAACTATGTGTTTAAAAAACAACTAATACAACCAAAACTACGTATAACTAACTAAATAACAATTGTGAAAACGATAAACTTAATTACATCCTGCACTGTCCAGTTTTGTCGAGGTGATCGATGCACAGCCACGACGTGTCCCAAAACAGCTGGAAAAGCTACGAAAACTAATTACGAAAACTTTATCAATTTTCTGCCAAGTGCCTGAAAACAGATTCTGGCAAAGTTTTACTTGTCCCAAATCGGAACTGGTTACTGCGTGATGAATAACCACTAACCTAAATAAATGTTCCTGTTGTTGTTCTATATGAAGCTACACAGTTTTTTTTTAATCGTGCATGCACTACTTTGATTACTACTGATATTACTGCCAATATAGTAGATATATTTCACGTCTCTGAAACCTATCTTTCGGAACGTTCTTCCAATTCTTTCGGTCTTTCATAAGGTCGTAGAATAGTAAAAAGTAATTAGTAGCGACTGCCTCTTGTATTATCTCGCGTGCTGCTGGCGTGTAATCTCCACGAAATTGTAAGTCAATAACTACTTCCTTAATGGCAGGATGTAGTTTGTTCCAATCGGTTTTGCCGTAAAGTTCTACGACATCTTTCTCGTTCACGATTTTCTGTACATCCTCCTCCATTGCTTTGTAAGTAATTTCAAAGAGTATCTTTTGTTGAAGTGGAGTTATTTCAAAGTTTTCCAGTTTGTTGTCCTAGGTAATATTAAAACAAAAACACTTTTACCAAATCTTGCAAAAAAGGAAATATATTTGCAAGAAATGTTTGTTTACTTCAATATTTCGCTGTCGTTATAATGCAAATTTGACCAATCAGTGTTCGCTATTCATGACAGGATGACCAGCAGTGAGGATGGCCACCCATGATGAACGGTGAACCATAGTCATGCACCCACGATTGATGGACTTCAGACTTTGCTAGTGCTTTTGAAAAACATATGTCTGACAGGTTACCGTGGATAAATATGTTTAAATAATATTCAAAAACTCATTAATAATTCATGAAGCAATTATCCAATCTTGAGTAAGAAATTAGTCACGTGCATACGTCTTTATACCAGCTAAAAAACACTTTAACAAAAGACCATTGTTATGCAAACTATATAAAGATTTTTATATAAACATTTTTATATAAAGATTTGACTTATTATGCAAACGTTTTTGAAGCCATTTAAAAAACTCGCAGGTCGTGTTTTATTAGGTCTAAAGCCACTCGCGCTGCGCGCTCCTGGCTTTAAACCTAATAAAACACTCCTGCTCGTTTTTTAAATAGTACATAATAAATGTTTCCTTTCCCACCGGAACTCGGGCGGAATTACTGGGTGGCATGTTCCACTTCTGTTTGTTTTGGTGAGTCTCAGAAGCAGAGAAGAGAGGAACGCTCGTTAGCTGTTAGTTGTAACCATGCATCATCGGATTTAAAACAAATTCCGCCCATAAAAACAAGATCGTCGACAGAAAAATGTAAACACACTTCTTCAAAGAGCAGTACCGACTGCATGTTATTCACCTTTAACACAAAAATATTACTTTGAACCATTCTCGTACCCAGAGCCCTTCTTACGCGGGTTCGACCATAGATATAGGAGACTAGATTGCTAACGCATACCTAGCGCAGGCGGGGCCTACATGATAAATCCAAGATGGCGGTACAAGAGGGCAAAAAGACTATAGATTCTATTACGAAAATCAAGATTTTTGCATTTTTTGCCGTCGCATTGTTTTGAAACTTATTCGGTCAAATTTTATGGTAAAGAGAAACGTACCGCGAAGATTTAGAGCATATATATGATTGAATTGGATGAAAACTCGCAAAATTATCCAGCGATAAAAGTTCGTGTGAAATTGTCAGTTGGTCAGTTGGAGCGTTTTATTGCCAGAAATACTGTGCTATGTTAACATCTAGTCTTGTGAATGGTGTTTTATACTTGCATCTTTCATCATCATCTGCTCTGTCCTCATAATTATGAAAAATGAACTGTTATGTACCCCCCCCCCCGCCCCCCCTCCTTGCTTGTTAGAGAAGTAAACTGATGAGAGCACTGGATAAGGGTCTATCATCTATGGTCTGTTATAATTTGCTTTCTATGCAAATAGTGAGCAAAAATTAAAGCGAAACTGTACAAGTTACATATATAGTACTATATCAGTACTATACACGAACTTTTATCGCTGGATAATTTTGCGAGTTTTCATCCAATTCAATCATAAATATGCTCAAAATCTTCGCGGTAAGTTTCTCATTACCATAAAATTTGACCGAATAAGTTTCACAACAATGCGACGGCAAAAAATGCAAAAATCTTGATTTTCGTAATAGAATCTATAGTCTTTTTGCTCTCTTGTACCGCCATCTTGGATTTATCATGTAGGCCCCGCCTGCGCTAGGTATGCGTTAGCAATCTAGATCTCCTATATCTATGGGTTCGACCGAGCGCGACGAGGGGCTCTGGCCAAATCCATATCAAACTGGCATCTGATTGGCCACAACGAAATATATGGTTTATTATAGTAAATATGAATAAAAATACACAAGCGCTCCATGAAGCGTTGGTTTCGCTTTGAAAATTGGGAGAAAAGACATTATTAAAGTTGAAAGAACAGCAGTACGAAGCAGTTAGGAAGATTGTTATTGATAATCGTCCACAAAAGCGGTAGGTTTCGCTAATCTTTATATTTATTTAAATCAATCAGTTGATTGAAATTATTAGGTTGAGACGTGATGTTGTCATAGCAAAAAATCAACATATTTATGGCAGATGCTCGTCGTATTTCCAAATCAGTGATGTTTAATAGTCAAACAAATCTGTGTTTAATACATGTTCAAAGCTGAAGTGCCATCTGAAGAGAAAATATTAAAGCCAGCCAGAATATGAAGTTAATTGTGATGACTATTTTCTTCCTAGAAACCGATTTTTTACAATTTTCAAAGGATTTGCAGTATAGTATGTCTTATGTATGACTGTTGACTTTTAATAAAACACAAAAAAAGTCTAAAAATCTGTACAACAGCGACTTAAAATCGAATATCCGTATCCATTACTGCTTTGACAACGTTAAAGAGGGAAATATATACTAAATTTTATCAACATGCATTGAGAACATCACGTCTTACCTACTAATTGATTTAAATAAATAAAATTAGCGAAACCTACCGATTTTGTGGGGTTTTCCTGGAGTAAAACTTTCAAAACGAAACAAACAAGAAAACCGAAGTATTTATCCGCGTTTGACGTTGAGCATGCGCAGTGTTAAACCGGATACCATGTTTTTGTGGTATCCGGTTATGATTTGGCCAGAGCCCCTCGTCGTGCTCCGTTGACCGCGCGTAAGAAGGGCTCTGGGTACGAGAATGACTTCGAACCTTAATCAGGTACAAAAGATTTTACTTTGACACAATAAATAATATTTCAAACATCATTAATATTCATAAGTTCATTGGCAAATTGTGTCAATCATAATACGTCACGTGAGGCTTTATACCTGATAAAACTCATCTTCATCAGTATTCTTTATATAAAAGTCCATCCTAATTACTATTATTTATATAAAGAATACTAATGAGACAACATCTATACTGTATAGTCGTGTTTGAAGCTGTTCGAAACACTTGTAGTCGTGTTTTATCATCTATAAGGCCTGTTTTATACGTCGAATTTGGTCGCGTCGAATGCAATTCAAGCAATAGATAATGAAGCTTAATGAGGTTTATCATCTCATTCAGTGGCGTAACGGGGAGGAAGAGGGGGCCCTTAGGCATATTTAGTGTGGAGGCCCCTGATGATTGTTGTCATTGTTTGACTGAGATATTATATTTTATATTGAATATTCATAGAATGTTCTGGAAAATTCCGTGTCTATAACAACAACAACAACAGTCTCCAACCCATGTAACAACTAATAAGAATAAACTTTTGTTTTATTTGAGATGGAGTAAAAAAATCGGCTACCGTTGTCGATGGAGGTTTATTATTTACCATTATTAATTTTGCATTTTCCAATTGATTCTTCACCTGCATTTTTACGTTTTCTAATTTTCTGGGCGATAAGCCGTGGCTGATGGGGGCCCCCAACTGTCGGGGGGCCTTAGTTTTTGAACTAACCCTAACCAATGAGCGCTACGCCACTGATCTCATTATCTGTTGTCTTAATTGCATTCCACGCGACCAAAATTCGACGTATAGTATAAAACAGGCCTAAGATTCTCTTGTTGCGCACTCACGTTTTAAATATGATAAAACACTCCTATGCGTGTTTAAAATAGTACGTACTACTTACATAAAAATGTTATACCTAGCTTGATAGAAAATATATTACCTCCACACAACATATACCATGCACATAAAAATATAATCTTACTACAACTAGGGAATATATATTTCCTCGGTTACCTTCATAAACTTTCTAGCAGCTTCGCCCTGAAGTTCCGCGGCACAGGAGAGCAGTTTTGCGTTTTCCTTGCAAATCCCTGCTTTTCGCTCAGATCTTCTTCAATTTGTTCTTTAGTTTTATCTTTCATGTCGTATCCCCGTCCTAAGGTTAAACCAGACTTGGCAGTCGGAACACGAAGCTTTCGGCTGTGCAACCTTCCTCCTTCTTCTCCTTCTGCGTCGAACGTTAACTGCCCGCGATCCACTTTAAAGTTTAGTAGAAATTCAAAACGTCTCCTACACCTAAGGTTTGGAACGTTTCTCCAATTCCGACAGTCTTGCATATGGTCGGTCAATGTTTTCAAGTCATCATTAGCGACTGCCAGTTGTATTATCTCACGTGCTTTTAGCGTGTAATCTCCACGAAGTCGTAAGTCAATAAGTACATCCTTAATGGCAGGATGTAGTTTTTTCCAATCGGTTTTACCGTAACGTTTCACAACAACTTTCTTATTTACGATTTCCCGTACATCCTTCTCCATTGCTTTGTAAGTGATTTCAAAAAGTTTCTTTTGTTGACATGGAGTTATTTCAAAGTTTTCCAGTTTGTTGTCCTATAGATAATGTGGAAACACAAAACAGTTATTTGCTTCAGAGAATACTATATTTGGAAATATTGTACAATTTAACAAAACGCATGGGTTACAAATCTTCATCTCCATTGTGTGCATATATATAATTATATATATAGAAAAGGTTTCAATGTGCAACCAAAAGAGACATTTACAACGCAAAATAAAATAAAAGCCAATCAAATTTTGCACAATCAAATTTAATGTTAGCTCTTCGGGTTCATATTTAAATGAGTGGAATTTAGTTAGTTTATCTACGTTCTATGTTCTACGTTCTAACGTAGATAATAGATAAACTAACTCAATTCCACTCATTGTAAATATGCACATGTGGAGCTAACATTAAAGTGTGGATCATGTCAATAGGTTGTGGATGTTCCTTTCAAGCATACAAACTGCTTGGGGTCGATCTTGTCTTTAATATCGGTTATCATCCACCCGACCACGAAATCTTCAAGAACCTTAGCCAGGCAGGGTGTCAGTGAAATGGGTCTGGTGTCACCTTCACAGGTAGGAGGTTGTGATTTTGGAACTGGTATGATGTCTGAGTCTTTCCATATAGCAGGGACGATTCCAGATGAAAGTGATGCGTTGAAGATGGTTGCAACAGGTTCGGCTACTTCATAGGCAAACTCGTTCAGGATACGACAGGGGACGTTATCTGGGCCGTGGGCTTTAAAAGGTTTAATATCTAAGAGCTTTTTAGATACTTCATGTGGTTGAACTGTTGGAGCAGGTTCTTTGGCCGGAAGAAATCCCGGGAGTGCCGCTAAATTAAGTGGTGGAATGTCACTATTCACCGATGCATACAGTGGCGGAAATCTTGGTGGGGCGGGGGGGGGGTGGCCGCCCCCCCCCCCCCTTTCACGGAAAATTGACGACTTTTCAGAAATTTGGACCTAAAAGAGGGCTAAAAACAGTCTTTCGGAGTGCAAATGGGGGTACGTCGGAAATTTGAAAGTTTAGTCGGAAATTTAGGAGGCTTTGGCCCTCCACCGGAAAAAGTGAATTTCCGCCACTGGGTGCATAGAACACATTCAAAGCTCTAACTAGTTATGATTGATCCAGGGTTCTTCCACCACATTCAAGCGAGAAGGAGTAATTCTTTCCAGATTTTCCTGCCATTTTGTTTACGATTTTCCACCACATACGACAGTCATCCTTCTTTAAATGTTGCACCTTTGTTTTGTAGTACGATATTTTCCACGCATTGATTTCAGATGGTTGTCCAATACTGTCGCACTTAACGACCCGTGAAATTCGTAAGTCATGATTCACGAGTCGTGTTTTTTATTTGTACATTACTATCAATAATTTAAGTTGTGTATCATCCAATTATAACGATATAAAATTAAGAAGTGCCTGTATATGAACAAAATCCATACGAATTGTGAAAAAATATTATTTCACCTGAGGTAGCGTAGGTCAACGAATCTTAAAATAAGATGTTAAACTAACCCTCACGAAATTCGTACGACTCGTTAAATTCGTGAAATTTTACGACTCGTGTCCACTCGCCAGCAATGTTTTACGAGGCAGACAACATCTTTCTGCTTGCGCTGGGTATGGAAATTATATAATACACATTCTAGAACATTTTCATCTTAATTATATATATATATATATATATATATATATATATATATATATATATATATATATATATATATATATATATATATATATATATATATATA